GTAGATCAAAAAAAAATTTACTTAATTATAGGAGGAGCCTAAATTTTCTTGTAATTTAAAATGAATTTTTGCAATATTCGGATAAATTTTGGCATGGCTATAAATAGAGATTATCTGATATTATTAATCTTTTGTTATAACTATATACAGTGGCGATCATAAGTAATAGAGCAAAAAAAAAATTTTGCTTAAATCACGTTATTTCAAGCAATTCTAAACGTATCTTTTTTTTTTTTTTAATTTATTCGTGAATACTATAGATTTCATGTATTAAAAATTTAAAAAAAATAAATGAACCTAAATTTTCGTTAACCCAAATTTTATTTCATTTGACGTGTTGCATTACTTTTGATCGTATGTAATGCAACACAATAATAAAATATAAAAAAAAATTTTTACATATAAAAAAAATTTTTTTTTTCTATTCTAATCCTTCTGGCCTCTACTACCTGGTGTATCCACTGCGTGCCTTGATAATGTCATGAACATGTTCAGGCATGGATCGAATCAGGTTGATGCAGGTCTCAACGTCAATTTGTTCCCAAACCACCTGGATCTTATTCCACAGGTCTTCTTTATCTAAAATTTGTCCAGGAAGGTTCCTAAGTCATCAGTCAACCTCATTTCACGAATGTTCGATGGGGTTAAGATCAGGGAACTGGGGGGCCAATCCAACACCCTAACCCAATTATTCCTCAACCAACGCAATGTCAACTTCGCCGTATGTTTAGGGTCGTTGTCTTGCTGGAATATAATGTTGTGAAGATCAAACTTGTGATCCCTAACTGTACCCAAAAAATCCTCATGTAGTATCTGCCGATACAACTCACTATCCATGTTGCCTTTGATTCAGCAAAGCCTACCAACACCGCAAGACGTGAAACAGCCCCAAATCATTACAGAGCCACCCCGTACTTCATCGTAGATTTAACATAGAAGTCATTTAACGGTTCACTGGGACGCTTCCAAAAGTATTGCTTGCCGTTAGATTTAAAGATTTTGAACTTTGACTCGTCAGACCAGATAACTTGAGCCCAGTCCTCATAGATCCAATTTTCTTGCTTCACTGAGAATTCTAATCTACATTTCTTGTGAATTTTGCTTGGGTACAGTTTTTTTCTCTTGATCCCTAATATCAAACCGTGGACCCTAAATATACAACGGACAGTGGGCGCTGAAATATCAATGTTTTCTTGTTCTTTAAGATGGAGCAAACTTCGACTGCACTAGAACAGTGACAGGAGACAATTAGATTAACAATTCTCCTCTGAGTTGGTTTGCCCAGAGCAACTAGACGACTAACCCTTTTCAAATCCTCAAGCACACGGTGTTATAGCCACTTATTTTTGATACGAATTATGGTGGAGGAGCTAATGTTGAAGGAAAGTCCTACCGCTCTTGCTGTGTGTCCTTTCTGCAGCGAAAGTAAGATGTTAGCCCTTTGGGCTGGGGTCATTCGTTCTTTTTTTTGTGGTGTTTGATTATCGATGAGATTAAGCATTGTACAACAATACAAAAACAACAATGTAATTTACTTTTATATTGTTGCTTTGTGTCATACAAACACCTCATCTGATCGTAATCATGAACGATCAAAAGTAATGCACCACGTGTTTTGTGTTATATGCGTGATTATTTTTGAATTGATAACAACAACGTTTATTAAGAATTTAATATCAAAACAAATGACTATTCACGAATAAATTAAAAAAAAAAGGATACGTCTAGAATTGCTCGAAATAACGTGATCTAAGCAAAATTTTTTTTTTGCTCCATTACTTATGATCGCCACTGTAGAAAATATGATTAATAGGCAATTCAGAATCTCGGAATTTTCCATTTTCATCAAGGCTATGTATGCCTTTTTAATAATTAGAATTGAATAATGAATATGATCTAATAGAATTAGCCTCTGAAATTTATTTAATTTTTTTGTTTAAAATTTTAAAATATTGGACTCGCAGCTATATCTCAAAAACGTACTAAGTACAGTAATTAAAGCCAGAGAGTCTTAGTAAAAATGTTCAGGACCCCTGAAACCTCCTGAAAATTAAAATTGTGACCTCATATCTAATCTACATTATGTTATATAAAACCTCTTTTATTCTAAAACTGCACCCTAACCCTAAAAATTATTAAGGATGGTGAATTTCACCACCGATGAATATTAAATAAATTCTAAAAAATTATATTTTTTAATTTTGTTGTCCAGTGATTATGTTTCTTAATCCATTGCATTTCACTGGACAATTTTCCAATTGTCCAGTTTCCCAGCCTTGGTAGTTCACGCTGAAAACATTTTATCCTATAATCTTATCCGAAATCACATGTAACCGGCAGATCTGTCTTGCTACCTTTTTTTACGGGCGACACTTGGGTCGCTTGGTTAACGTTAGAAAGTCACATGGATTGGACAATAATTATGGAACTTGAATATTTATGATTTACTATGCATTTATTATAAAAAGAGTTTATTATATCTTTATTTTAGGGAAGAATTTGGAAAACCATATGTTATGTTGACCAAGATCGTAAGCATGCCTTGTACACGGTTTGATTTTTTACAGAACATCAACCGGAATTCTCAACGCTTACACTGTTGATTCCGTATTGGCGTCAAGGCGCAATGATTACAAATTTATAATCGCATATACGCAAAAAATTTTGTGTGTACGTGATTGCATGATTACGTATAATATTACTAGAGATCAATATGACTATAATTATGGAGGATAAATGACAACTTTAAGAATTAGGCAAATACGAAATTGAGAGACATGGGAAAAATTATTGTTACAATATGTTTGTGTGCAACAACTGACTGGCAATTTCTCAGTGAAGACGAAAGAAAGATTAATGATGTGAGGCTTCATAAAGGGTTAGAGCTATTTAATTATAGAATTCGCATATACAGTAGAACCAATGGGAAAGTGACTTCATAATAGCGTAAATTCTATACGTAGATCATTAATTTTTTTTAATTGGTAAGTATTTTGTTTAGTCCTAATGTGTTTTGAATTGCTTTGACCATATGGCATTAAATCTTTATACTGTATTTATAAATTATTGGCTACTATATATGTTAAAACCAAGTTTATCATGTAATAAAGTCCAAAATATAGTAATAATAAAATGTTAGTCAGCATCGCTAGTCAGGAAGAATGAATTTAAACATGGAATATTTCTTTAATTAATTCTGTAATTTTGATTGGCTGATAGTCGTTCATTATCTTCCCCAGTATCGCCACCAAAATGTTACAGTCATGTGACTATCGAAAAATTCTTTAGATTAGGGCTAGGTTAGGATTCGGGTTAGGGTGAGTGAGAGCTATAGGTAAAATTGCTTTTTGAATTTTCCTGATCGTGTAACGTTACACCTGATCTTGAAATCTGATTTGTTTACGCCACAAAAATTGTCATGTGACTGTAACATTTTGGTGGCGACACTGGGGTAGTTGTCATGCATTGATCTTACCTTACCTCAATAGGATATAAATCGGTTTTTAGATTTTATTAATATTAATATTAAAGGTTATAACCTTTCGGGTAAAGGTTAACCGGACACGACACTATCATAATCAGAAGACTAATTAAATTATACAGTAATAAAGAATAGTTTCGTGGTTTTTGTGGTTAGAACTATAGATGCTGGTGAAATTAATTTCACCAATTTCACCAATAGTGGTGAAATTATTTCACCACATTTCACCGTATTTCACCAGTATCTATAGTTAGAACTAGCGTTGCAAACTTAATTAAATTCAAATGCTAAATAATTTACTTTACTAAAATACAATATTTAAAAGTACGGTAATTTAATAATAATCTTGCCATTAATAAATCGTACGATCAATTTAAGCTATCACTATTTATGAAAAAAAATTGTATAATAAATTTAAGCGATCGCTATCTATGATAAAATCAAATTAGTTTATTATACTGAAACCTTTATCGAATTTGATCTTATTAATATGATCTATGAACTAGCTTCTACAAATCTATCTTTTAAGCTTGTCAAACTAACTACAGTAATTATAGATAATTGGCAATTGAAGGTACAAAATGACCATCTCAATCAAGCTCTTCGCAAATAAATAATAAAGAATTAAAAATCTCTAAAAAAGCGAAGAAATTGGTTTATCTAATGATGAAGTTACAATAAATAAAGTTTAAAATCTCTACTAAAAAAATTAAAGTATGAAGAACGTTTTAAGAAAGAAAAGAAAATTAAGAGAATTGAATATTTAATTAAAGAGCGTGAATATAGCTCAGAAATTAGTTTATGTGCTTAACTAATTATGCTAAAAAAATAATTTTTTGCCAAATTATTTGTAAAAAAAAAAGTCTAATAATTGCTTTAATAATAATATAATTATAAACTATTACAATTAAGATATTTATTATCATCATACTTGTACGTATATTGTACAATTTTTTATTTTCGCTACCATATGCAGCTATTTTTATGTTTCTGACTATTCTTCTTGAAATATATACTATATCCAATATATATATATATATATAATTTATACAGTTTGTATAAAAATTTTCTCTTATTTTTTTAAAAAAATTAGTCCAGTCTCTATTTTATTCGCAACTTCTTTTTCACGAATAGCAATAGCTTGTCATGCTATAATTTTTAGCCAATGACATTTTGATAAATTTCGAAATTGATTTGATGCAATTCTCGTTTTGAGATTGAGTTTAATCACATGATACTGATCCAATTAAGGATAGGTTCAGTCGATTACCCGACTGCACTGTAACCGACCGAACTCTAGAGCCAATACTAATGAAAAAAACTATTATTGGAGCTAGAAAAGGAATTACTTAAAACAAAAGAAGAGAAATATTTTACTATTTGAAATTTAGAGTTTTTGCAAAAATATGAAATACAGCATGTGAATCATTACTGTGTAAAATTAAATATATTTTAAAAAATACATATTAAATTTTCACACTAAGATACTATAATTAATTTATAATTATTGACTAAAAAATTAAGGTTTATTCTCAATCAAAGCTGCAGCCTGTATCCATAATTTACTAGGATCTCTAATACTTTTTTCATCATAGTATAGTTTATAATTAGAAGGTCTAAAAGAGAATTCTAAAACTTCATCCGGATTTTTAATGCTATAGGCTTCATTTACAGTAAAAGAAATTGTAGTTGCTAAAGGAAATTGTTTAGGCATTAAATCATTATTAAGTAAGGATAAATTTTTCAAATATTGAAAAAAAGTGTCAGAAGTAACAACAAATCCACCAGCAAAACATGCAAAAGATAAAGGTTTATTTGAAAGTCCACCAACGGCTACTGTTTTAACATTGACCTCAGCTAATCGTTGAGTAATATGTGCACATGCAGATCCACAAAATCCATTTGTCAAGATTATTAAATTTTCAGCAGTCCAGGGAAGAGGTTTTGAAATATTTCCAAGAAATTCACTAATAATTTGTTCATCACTATTAAAACCCTTTTCAGAGTACCTAATTTTCAAACCACCACGTATATAATAATTGTTTCCAATAAAGTCTGAAACATTAGTAAACGAAGTATTCGTTTTTTCGGAAATATAACTACCGTTAATGTCGAATTCGCTACTAATATTTTTAGCAGTAGATTGTTCTATTACAAGTTTTGCTGCCTCAGTAATTTTTACATCAAATGGAAAATTTCTAATGTCCCTAAATAAGAGTTGAGTAATATAATGAGCTATAAAAGCAGCCCCACCTCCATTATTTGTTAAATCCAAAACGACCTAATATGATAAAAAAGAAAAAAAAAAGATTTAATCATCATGAAAGAAAATACATAATAAAGATTAAATATATCATTAATCAAATTTACCTTTTTAATTCCCATATTTGCAAATGATTGAAATCCTTGATTTATGGTAGATAATAAATCTATTAGTAGATCATTATTTGAAGCATATTTATCATCAATAGATTCAGTAGAAATTACAGCGACACCAAAGTCCCGTAACGTATAAAATCTAATGATATAAGCATCAATAATTAATTTTCCTTCTTCTAATGTGGGTTCATATTCATCTAGTTCTCTTTTACTTTCATATGATAATCCTGAGCTCGCTTGAAGAGGTTGATTTATGCATATATTGTTCCAATAAGAAGTAGAATCAGTAAAATTATTAAATATACTATCATTACGAGCAGTGATTTTCCATCCTCGGGTAATTTTATTGATTTTTCCATCACAATCAAGAGTGTAAGAAATAGTAGGATTTTTCGGAAGCAATATTCGGCTAGTGAACTGTTGTGATAAGCTAATTTTTCCACCTTGAAGAGTGAGAGATGCAAGAGCATTATTAAATCGAACACCTAAATCCCTTGATGTTCTTATAGAATCGTTAGCATATTTAATAATTACATCCATTGCGGATTCATCATCGATATGCGTAACTAGACAGTCGATATTTTTTGAATCAATTGAGTCATTAAAAACCTTAATTTGCTATAAGTACATAGTAAAATGATAAATAGATAAAGTTACTTTTTAATTATATATTTTAATTTTATTTAGTGCATTCAAATTTACCTGCGTTCCATTATGTTTAACAATTGAATACATGGAAAACTGTTGATCAAAACTAAATGCCTCATAACAAGCAGTATAAAATCTAAAATAATATATCATTATAATTACAAATCTAATATTATTTTATAGACAAAGTAAAAAAAAATATACATACGAAGTGTGTGCATCCTTCAATGTTCTAACAACATCTATAATATCATACTAGCATAATTGACATAAAAGTAAATTGGAATTTGATAATTCCAATCTTTTATAGTATAGCATACGTATTACTTACCATAAATTGAATATCAGTTGTATAGTTGTTTTTTAATAATGAATCTAATTCCGACAACACATTGATAGATCTATAAGTAAATCCTTTTGTTGGAGGATCTCTTGCTTGGTCCAAAAATGAATAGAAATTTGCAAAAATACTCTTTAATGTTTCTATCGTCTATAATTTAATGTGATTAATAAACTTTAAAAAAAAGGTTTAATACTTTATCATATAAATACCCGTGTTGCATTATCTTTATCAAATGGAAATGTTTCGTAACATGCTTTTACGTCTTCATATTTAAATGATAGTTTTCTAGATATATGGTCATTATGAATATTCGCGCATGCATCAACTTTACTTGGATAAGAATTAGCTACGCCGATCCACGTAATAAGCAAGAATAATAAACCAAGAATTATTATTTTCATCTTTAATATACAAATGCAAATTTTCACCAATAAAAACTACCTTAATGCGTTTTAACCATGAAGCTCTTTATAGTTTTTTTTAAAAAAATACTTGAGCATATTTGTAATTCTGCAACCTTCAATAAAAATACCTAAGCATTTATTGTATTGCAAACCTTTATTTTTCCTAATATGGCTATCCTTCAAGCGTAAGACTTTTCATCTATTTTTAAAAGCGTTATTTTAACGTTACTTTATTTATTACAGGATCATCCATATATTTTTAGACTAACTATAATTATGGAAAGCTTTCACCTTTTTGATTCCCTTTTTGTGATCAGATGATCGTCCATCGCTGAAAATTGTTAATAAAAAAAAAAAAATTCCGCCCGATCTTACTAATTCTCCGATTTCCTGATCTCCTAATTTTCCAGCATAATAGTCAATTTAGTTTTTAACTATACCTTCATTTATTATGAACGAAGGCAGCTTAGTGACATATTCAAAACTTTTTTTGAACTCTATTTATTAATAGGGTTAAAAATGGTCTTAAACATTTAAACTGACCATATCTTCTCGAAATAACAATATAATATTTTAATAGATTACACATGAGTGCTGTCAATAGAAAACTTGTCATCGGGCTTTCAATGGTCAGTTGGCTTTCTGTCTTACAGGAGCGACCGTCGATGTTACACGACTGACTTTTCACCCGGTGTGCAACATATAAAAAAACTATTTTACAAT